CCACTCCCCTCCCCTCTAAAACCTTCAGTTTCTTTCTCAGAGTCCATAGTCTCTCATGGTTCATCTCTCCCTCCGATCTCCCTCCCTTCATTTCCCCCTTCCTTTTCCTAATGTCCTCCATGCTATTCCTTATGTTCCACAAATAAGTGAAACCATATGATAATTGACTTTCTCTGCTTGACTTATTTCACTTAGCATAATCTCCTCCAGTCCCATCCATGTTGATGTAAAAGTTGGGTATTCATCCTTTCTGATGGCTGAGTAATATTCCATTGTATATATGGACCACATCTTCTTTATCCATTCATCTGTTGAAGGGCATCTTGGCTCTTTCCACAGTTTGGCTATTGAGGACATTGCTACTATGAACATCGGGGTGCACATGGCCCTTCTTTTCACTGTATCTATGTCTTTGTGGTAAATACCTAAGAGTGCAATTGCTGGGTCATAGGGTAGCTCCATTTTTAATTTTTTGAGGAAACTCCACACTGTTTTCCAAGGTAGCTGTACCAACTGCATTCCCACCAACAAGGTAAGAAGCTTCCCCTTTCTCCACAACCTCTCCAACATTTGTTGTTTCTTCCCCTGTCCATTTTTGCCATTCTAACTGGTATAAGGTGGTATCTCAATGTGGTTTTGATTTGGATTTCCCTGATGGCTAATGATGATGAACATTTTTCCATGTCTCTGTTAGCCATTTGTATGTCTTCTTCAGAGAACTGTCTGTTCATGTCTTCTGCCCATTTTTGACTTGATTGTTTTTTGGGTTTTGAGTTTGAAAATTTCTTTATAGATCTTGGATACCAGCCCTTTATCTGTAGTGTCATTTGCAAATATCTTCTCCCATTCTGTGGGTTGCCGCTTTGTTTTGTTGACTGTTTCCTTTGCTGTGCAGAAGCTTTTTATCTTGATGAAGTCCCAAAAGTTCATTTTTGCTTTTGTTTCACTAGTTTTTGGAGATGTATCTTGAAAGAAGTTGCTGTGGCCGATGTCAAAGAGGTTACTGCCTATATTCTCTTCTAGGATTTTGATGGATTCCTGTCTCACATTGAGGTCTTTCATCCACTTTGAGTTTATCTTTGTGTATGGTTTCTGCCGGTCTTGGAAGCTCTGCATCTCTCCATCCATTCTAAATGAAAGCCTTGCTGGATAAAGTATTCTTGGCTGCATGTTCTTCTCGTTTAGTACCCTGAATATGTCTTGCCAGGCCTTTCTGGCTTGCCAGTCTCTGGAGAGGTCTGACGTTATTCTGATGTTCCTCCCTCTGTGTGGAAGGAATCTCTTCCCCCTAACTGCCCTTAAGATTGTTTCCTTGGTTCTAAGATTTGCGAGTTTTACTATTACATGCCAGGGTGTTGGCCTGTTTTCCTTGATCTTGGGAGGGGTCCTCTCTGCCTCTAGGACACGAATGTTTGTTTCATTCTCCAGGTGAGGGAAGCTCTCAGCTACGATTTGCTCAAATATATCTTCTAGTCCTCTCTCTCTCTCCACCCTCTGTGGGATCCCAATAATTCTGACATTGGAACGCTTCATGGTGTCACTTATTTCTCTGATTCTTTTTTCATGGATTCTGAGTTGTTTTTCCCTGGCCTCCTCTTTTCCCTTTTTATCTATTAAATGGTCTCCTAGGTCACTAATTCATTCTTCTGCCTCACTTACCCTAGCTGTTAGATTATCTAGATTGGATTGGATCTCACTGATGGCATTTTTAAGTTCTGCCAATTCAGCTTTCATTTCTGCCCTTAGAGACTCTATGTTGCCATTAATTGATTTCTCCATTCTAGCTATTATCTTCACAATTGCTAGCCTGAACTCCATCTCCAACATCTTGGTTATATCTGAATCTATTTGTAAATCTGTGGCATAAGTCATAACCTCTGAGTCTTTCCTATTTTGGGGGTTCCTCCTCCTAGTCATTCTATTGATGGGTAGTTGAGGGAATGTACAGAGTCCAAATTATTGACCACAACCCAAGCAAGATGCACCTGTTTTCTAGGGACCTTAGGGTTGCTGGCCTCTTGTTTTCCCAGCCTGTCTTCTGGGGGAGGGGCCTGCCATGCTGTCACTCAGGCAACCCTGTTGGGGCAGAGTTGCGCTGCCCCCTGTGGTGGGGGATGGGCTCAGTGGAAACCAGTTTTTTGGGGCTTTTGTTCTCTGGTGGCTTTCCCTGGCGGCTTTCCGTGTCTTTCCGCAGAAGAGACCATTTCCAACCGTCTGCCTCAGAGCAGAGAGATCGCAGTCTGTTCTTCAATGAGCTCTCTAGGCCACACTCTCTCCTTTTTTGTCTGTGCTGCTATAAACTGCAGCATCCTGGGTTGTGCACCCCTCAGCAGTGCTCCCAGTCCTCGCCTCCAGGTCGGGGCTTGTCTCTGCCCTTTGTGCTTCTAAAACCTCCAGCCACTCCCAGTTCACACGCGTGGCCCCACTGCTCTGGTTTCCATGGGGGAGGGGCTGCCCTAAAGTCCTTTCCCCGCCGCTACTGATCTGTGAGTCTGTGCCCCATTCCCAGCAGGGGAGGCTATCACTTACCAGCGGTGTAGGATGCCCACGGCCAGGGTCCCTCCTGCTGCTGTTTGTCCTCTGATATCTGCCTGCAGAATCACAGCTCCCTGCTTCGTACTTTGAAACCAACCACCTGTGAAATTCTGTTTGTAGAGATCCAGATCTTTGTACATCTCAGGCTGATTTCATGGGTGTTCAGAGTGGTCTGGTAGATATCCAGCTCAATTCTGGGGACCAGTTGGAATAGGGTCCCCTACTCCTCTGCCATCTTTTCCTCGAAAGCCTTTGAGTGTACTTTTTAAAATACATATTTGTCTTTTAGAAACATGTCAATGTTCCATATATTCAAAAATAAAAATAAATAGAAAAGAATGGAAAGGCTTAAAAGAAACCCCTAAAACTGAAAGTGAATAGAAACAAATGTACCACTGTATTTTAAGTGAATACGTTTAGCCATGTTGAAGGGGGGAAAAAGAATAATCCATGTGACCACAGTATTTGACTACATCAGTCTTGGATAGGAAGGAGTTGGAGGGGATAGTGAGTGCAAGAATTACAAACAAATTTTGAATTCTTTTTAAGAGGTTGGTTTAGTATAATGGTATGGGTGAAGCAATAATGAGACTATTTTAGATGTATTACACTGAGCAAAAAAGCCAATGTTGTAAACTAGGGTTTTCACTTGGAAGAGGGTACATACAAATATGGATTAGAGGAGTTGAAAAAGGACCTTGTATGATAGATTTGAATTGAAAGTTTGATGTGAATTCATGATTCCTAAAATATGTATGTGTATTTGTCTTTATTAATATGTGTGTGTATAGATATAGGTGTAGGTATAGGTGTAGATAGTATAGATATATATCCCAGCTTGCTAAATAAGCCAAGAGGTGGGGACTGGGCAAAGTAGGTGGAAGATGAACCTGTAACATATTGTTATGTCACAAAATAAGAAAAGTCTCAAAAAAAAAAAAAGATGATGGCATATCATAGGGACATATGAATCAACTTAAAGGGCTTCCTACTGGTAAAACAACAATAACAACAACAAAAAAACCCCACAGTAATTAATTAAAAATAGTTAAAAATGGTATTTGTATTTCCATATGGTTTGGATATACATAAATATGTAGATAAATAATGAAATGAATAATTGGGGGAGAAAAGAGGGCTCTTGCTTACAGTAGAATGTTGAGTGCTTACTAATAAATGTAGAGGGAATATTCAATTTTATAAAATTAAAATGACCACTGAGGTTCAAAGACATCATGTACCTCTACATATGATACTCTGAGAAAGCTACATCACCTATTTAGTATGCTGTCCAGGAATGCATAACCTGAATATAATCATGAGGAAGCATCAGAGAAGTCCCAACTAACAATGGTTTTATTATACAAAAATGGGGTGCCATATTCTTCCAAAGTCACAGAACACAAAGGAAGGTTGTAGAAATGTTCCCATATTAAAGGAGGCTAAAAGCAATATCTGAACCTAGACTAAATTATATGCTTGAAGGGGAAAAATGCAATAGAGGCATTAGTAGATCAACTGACAGATTTGGAAGATGAATAGTTGATTAGATAAAAATATTATATCATTGATACATTTACTGAAGTTGATAACTGTGCTTCAGATATGTAAAAAAAAAATCCATATTTTTAGTAAATACACACCAAAATATTAAGTGATAAAGGGCCATGACATATACAACTTTCCATTAAATGGTTCTATATATATGCTGCATGCTTGTGTGTGTATGTGTGTGTGTGTGTGTGTGTGTGTGAATCTGGGTAAACATTATATAATGCATGTATTTTCTTAATTATTTTTATTCATGCAAATTTTTTCTGTAAATTTAAAATTAATTCCAAATAAAAAGTTAAAAAAATATACAGTGCTATACTTCATGAGTTCAGTTACATATATATGTATATATATATTTAATATTAAGTTAAATATTTATAAATTTATAATAAACATAAATGTATAAGTTTAATATTATAAGCTAAACCAGATTTATATATCTCTTGAATCTAAGATTTTTTCTTAAGATATTTAACGATATTGTTGAGTTAATTGAATATATATATCAAGGAACTTTGTCAATTTGTATTAATTTTATTACATAAAAGAAGCCATGTTACATCATATAGTTTTTTATTATCTTAACTTGCAGAATAATTTAAATGTGAAGATTGTCCATACATTATCATCTAGAATCTCATCTTGAGATAATTTCCTTCAAAATGTCTATTTGGCTTAGTAAAGTACATAATGCATTACTGTATTAATATATATATGTTTTTACTAAAAACTATATATTTTATGTTTTGATAGGTATAAGATCTTAATTCGTCTGTATTTTTTCACTCCATTAAGAAATAAATTAAACTCCAGATGTTATATTAAGTAAGAAGGCAGCTTTTAACTCATGAAATATCAAAATGTACTATGTAGTACATTTCTCATTGGCATATTTTCTTGTTCTTTACCAGAGATTTGTACCTATGAAATCAATCACTCCAGCTCCTGGCACATATAATGAATCTCGAACTGCTTTCAATTCCTTGAAGAAAACACCGATACTGAAAAGTACTCCTTTTGGTCAAAGTGCTGCTCGATTCACACAGGACTTCAGGACAGAGGAAATGCCAGGTTAGTAATTAATTCATGTAGTTATATAACTTAATATTCTTGACAAGATGGATGTACCAAAAAGTACAATTCTTTTTGTTCTGTGGTTTGTGTTGTCATTTTAAGTCACATTTTAAAAGTATTGACTATACACTAAACACAGATTAATAATAATGTATAATTTTAGTAAGATTTCAATTTAACAGGTCATATATCTTAATGGTAATTTTCTATTGTTTTCCTTTATTCAGTAAATTTCCTAATTTCTCTTTATGGGTGAACATATATATCAACTATGTGGTCACTGCCAGTATTTTAACTTATAAAATGCACTCTTGTTAAAATTTTATTTTGGAGATATCCTAAAACATATTCTAGTATTCTCACTGGATATTTTAGTATACAGAACTAAGAATTGAGCACAAAAATAACTTATATGAATGTTAACGTATTGTTATGTGTTGCTGCATAACAAACTTGGTGGCTTAAAAACACAGAGTTTTCTTTTGTATCTTACTATTTTGTGGGATGGCTGGAAGGCAGAGCTCAGATAAGACTGTCATTCAGAGTGCATGCATAGCTTCAGCATTGCTGTTCCAGGGTAGTTGGTCTTTTAATTTGGTAGCTCAGGACTCTATAGGACCTGGCAGGATGGTACAAGGCTTATTTCCTAATGTCAGAAATCCCACATTCTGTTTGTTAATCAGGTTACTCAGGGCAGCACATGTTAGAAGAGCATGACACTTCATCTCTCAATGACACGGATAGCAAAGAATTTTTGGCCATCTTTAATTTACTATAGACTACCCTCTGCCCACAAAACATTTACAGTTGTCCTACATGCCTTCTCCAGGCCTCCAAAGTCTCATGTAATTATGGTGTAATCTTGAAGTCCAGTATTTTCTTATCTAAGACCTATATTGCTATAGGTGAGAATTCTTGGGTGTGATACTTTAGATTAGCTTCTTGAGTATGACTTCTCTCTGTCAGAAGAGCTATGAACTAAAGACACACATTATCTGCCTCACATATCCCAAAACACAGCAATGGGAGAAAGATAGGATAATCATACTAGATGCTCCTATTCAGAAAAGAGAAAACTAGAGACCCATAACAGTCATAGGCCTATAAGAACTATGAAATCCAACCAGGCACATTTTGTAATTTCCTTGATTAGTGCCCAGTTGGGTTCCCTTGGAATGATTTTCCAAGGTCCTTTGTTCTGCCTTTGAGCTCTTGGTTCCATCTTTTGAATCATCCTTCCTTTTCTATAAGAAATAGGCTGTGTTTCTGGCTGCCTAACTTGTTTACACCAAGCTCCACCCTATGTGCTTCAGCAGGACTGCCCTTCTCTGTCAAGCTTATTTCAGTCCCAGCACAACAGGCCCCTCCCCCAGAAGGTCAGGCTCCTCCCCCCAGAAGCCCCTGTTCACACAATATTTCCTGACTAGAGAGTTCTGCAGGGCTTCATTTCTGGCAGAGTTGGTGTCAGGTCTCATTTCACAAGCAGACTAGAGTGTACCTAGTTAAAACTCACCACATTCAGTCCAGGGACCAAACACTGCCCACAGCAGGAAGGGAGAGCCTCTACAGACAACTGGCCTAAAGATAGAGCAGCCAAAACACAATAGCAGGGTGCACACAGCATGACTGGAGACATTCCATGAAGCACTATACCCTGGGCACTACATGACCTCTTCTTCATAAGGCTACTACTTTCAGGAGCAGGAGACATAACTGGCTTTTCTAATGGAGAAGAAGGCAGAGACTTAGACAAAATGCTAAGACAGAGGAATTTATTCCAAATGAAAGAACGAGATAAGGACACAGCTAGAAATCTAAGCAAAACAGATACAAGTAACATGCCTGATGGAGAATTTAAAGCAACAATCATAATGATACTCACTGGGCTTGAGAAAAGAATAGAAGATATTAGTGAGACCCTTACCACAGAGATAAAAGAGTTAAGAAAGAATCAATCAGAGATGAAGAATACAATAAACGAGATTAGAAATGGGTTTGATGCAATTAACAGTAGGCCAGAAGAAGCAGAGGAATGAATTAGTGACCTAGAAGACAAAATAATGGAAAATAATGAAGTTGAAGAAAAAGAGAGAAACAATAATTATGGGACATAAGAGTAGACTTAGGGAACTCATGACTCCAACAGATGTAATAATATTCATATTATAGAAATCCCAGAAGAAGGAGAGAGAAAAGGGAGCAGAAAATTTATTTCAGGAAATAATAGAAGACTTCCCCAATCTGAGAAAGGAAACAGATATCCAGATCCAGGAGGCACAGAGAATTCCAATCAAAATCAACAAAAGCGGGTCCACACCAAGACATATTGTAATTAAATTTGCAAAATATAGTGATAAAGACACAATCTTAAGAGCAGCAAGACAAAGGAAGTTCTTAATTTACAAGGGAAGACGTTTAAGGCTAGCTGGAGATTTCTCAACAAAACCTTGTGGAGAAACATTTATCATGCAAATGGATGTCAAAAGGAAGCCAGAGTGGCAATACTTATATTGGATAAACTATATTTTATTTACTTATTTTAAAGATTTATTTATTCATTTGAGAGAGAGAGAACGAGAGCATGGGGAGGAGGAGCAGAGGGAAAGGAAGAGAGAAACTCAAGCAGATTCCATGCTGATTGTGGAGCCCAACATGGGACTCAATCTCACGACCCTGAGATCACGACCTAAGCCAAAGCCTGGAGTTGGACGCTTAACCAACTGTGCAACCCAGGTGCCCCCAACCTAGACTTTAAAATAAATACTTTAAAAAGAGAAAGAAAGGCATTATATAACCACAATGGGTTGATACAACAAGATATAACAATTGTAAATATTTATGTACCCAACATGGGAGCACCCAAATATATAAAATAATAACAAACATAAAGGAACTAATTGATAATATAATAATAGTAGGGGACTTTAACACCCCACTGACATCAATAGACAAATCATCTAAATAGAAAGTAACAAGGACACAATGGCTTTGAATGACACACTGGACCAGATGCACTTAACAAATATATTCAGAACATTCCATCCTGAAACAGCAGAATACATATTCTTTTCAAGTGTACATGGAAGATTCTCCAGAATAGATCACATATTAGGTCATAAAAGAGGCCTCAACAAATACAAAAAGATTGAATTCATACCATGTACCTTTTATGACCACAACAGTATGAAACTAGAAGTCAACCATAAGAAAAAATTTGGAAAGACCAAAAATACAAGGAGGTTAAACAACATGCTACTAAACATTGAATGGGTCAACCAGGAAATCAAAGAAGAAATCAAAAAAGACATGGAAACAAATGAAAATGAAAGCACAATGGTCCAAAACCTTTGGAATACAGCAAAAGTGGTCCTAAGAGGGAAGTATATAGCAATGCAGGATTACCTCAAGAAGCAAGAAAAAAATCTCAAAGTAGGCTGTGTTTGCAGTTGGAGTTTTCTCCTATAGAAGATGAGGGGCCTACAGCCTATAGAAGATGAGGGATCTATAGCCACTTTTCATTTTGCACTGTTGTCTCTTTCTTTCCAGGTTTGTATAATTCCCTCTCAAAACTACTTTGTAAGTATCTTATTGTAATGACTTAGAATCAAATACACTGCACAAAACCCACACTAAAATGTACTTCTTAGGAAAATCTTTGTCTACTTTGGGTCACCTTTGGCGCCACTGTGTTTTGATACTCTTAGATTCTTAGGAGCATTATTATTATTATATCCAAGAGGGTCTATGACATATGGCCTTAAAATTCTTAGAAGCCTTTTCTTTAACTGAAAGATTCTATGGTGTACCATCTTAAATCTTTCTGAGGTCTTAACAAAGGGTCTTACAGTCATACCCTGGATTTGGTCTTTGATCTCAGGCCATTTCTTGCTTTGAGAGCTTTTTGCTATATGTAGAGATGGAATGAAGAAAAGTTTTACTTTCAATCCCAGAAAATTTTGATTTCTTTCATTTCTTATAAATTCTTGAAAACAACTGTTTGAACTCATCTCTTTCTTTCCATACCTTCACACTCGGCTAAAAACAACTAATTGGTACTTTTGATATTCAGCCTGGAAACTTTCTTAGCTAGAAACTACTTATTTATTATTTTCTTCATTATCTCAAGCATTAGTTTTGTTAAAATCTCTGCCATTACATTATATCTCCAGCCTCCAATAACATTTTCCTCCTGTCCTTTAAGCTATCACCAACTGTCCTCTCGTGTCCCTTTCTCTAAGTCTTGAGTTGTTCCAGCTTCTGACCCATTGCCTGATCTCAAACAATTGCTATAAGTTTTGTTATGGTAATTTGTTATGGTAAGTCTATACTGGTACAAAATTATTTACTACTCATGCCATTGAGAAGTTGAGTCTTTTTCTTCTCCATTCCAATCTTGGTTAGTCTGGTATCTTTTCTGACCAATAGCATGCAGTGGAAGTGATATTTTAGCACTTCTTAGGCAAAGTCATGAGCTTTATAGTATATACCTGGGCCTGTTGAAACAGTTGGTCTTGGAGTCCTGAGCCTCTGTGAAGTCTAAGTATTCTAAGACTGCAATTCTGGAGAGGTCATGTGTAGGTGCTTGCCACTACCCCAGCTGAGCCTAGCTGAGTACTGTTTCTCATGAATCTGAAGTCCAAAGTATTTAGGTCTTAGGATTAGGTTTTATTTTCAATTTTGTGGTCTATTGTATTATGAATAAGGTATTATAAATTCCCCAAAGGTTTATTTGTGAAGGATACAGTTAAATTATGATGACACCTCCAATCTAATCCTGAATCTTACATATTTTAAGAGTTAGTGAGAATGGCCTCATGGAACTTCAATTTTTTTTCTGTGTAGATATTAGTATGCAGTAATAAATTGGACCCATCAATCAGTTCTAGAACATACTTACAGGTTGCTTTTAGAAGGTCACCCTAAACTGTCTAGTTCTGGGGTTCCTGGGCATTTCTATACTTACTGATTAGAAAAATTAATGTGAAAAACCTCTAATG